TCAATAATATCCAAGCGTCAGCTCGACTCGATTCATTGACACCCACACCATATACCATGCATATATACCTACTCAACGATATATATATACATAATCTATATATGTATATATATATATACAATCGATCCCTCAACGATAAAATCGGGACGACCACCAACAGACGGGTCTACGTTTCTCTGTTCCTTCTTTATTTTCTTTTGTCTCTTCGTGCCACGCTTTCCACCTCCCCCCTTTTTATCGGTTCCTTTCTGGTCGGCCAGCCAGATCGAAGGGGTTGCCGCGAACACACCCTCTCGCCGAGGCAATCTCGCGACACTAATTGCTCTCGCGATTTATGAACCGATCATGCTCGTTTTCCGATGTTTCCACGCGGAGTCACGGCAATCGAAGAACAAATCCCAATCGATTCTCATCGAACTTATTTACGCGATCGTCGAGGAACGCCCGTGTCCAACGGATCGGTCCCTCACAGGTGAAACGCTCTCCAACGTTCCGATGAAAATTCGATTCTTTCCACCGCGTCCCGCATCGAGTCCCCCTCATTCAATTTCTACACACCTCTTTTCGCTTTTAATCCCGCTAATCCCGGCATTCACGTACGGAACAGACGGGTCCCCCGAAGCCTCGCAAGCCGGTCTCGGGCGTACACGCCGCTAATTAATATTTGTTACACGAAATGTAAACGGATTGTTAATTCCGCGGACCGGCGACAGGCCCTCCTTTTAATTTACATTTCCCCCAGGAACCTCTCTCTGCGCAAGGGGTTACGTCACTCGTGGGCCGACAAGGTCGCCGGGAGATCGCAAACAAAGGTAACACGCCCGACAACGGCTCGCGCGGTGACTCGGACCGTCTTTTATTAACAACGCCAGAACCATGTGCCGAAAGGAGAGAACAGCTCACAGACAACCATGCTTCCACGTTAACCACCGTCTCCTCCAGCCCCCGGCCCTTTCACAGATCTAACGGCAACCTCCGCGATTCAATCGCCTTGAATATATAAATAAACACAACGGCGCCGCGAGCAATCCCCCCGCGGGAATGCACGGCGAATCTCGATGTTTATTGCAGAAAACGCAGCCATAAATCCGGCCGCATTTCCATACGGTCGCGTGCCCGCTCGCCGAAACGCTCGCTCCCGTCAGCTCGTGCCGGGAATTCCCGCTTTGTGTCGCGAAACATTCGATCGCTTCGTAAAGCTCCGTACACAACTAAGGACATGTTGCGGTGCACACGTTGGTTCCTGGGTTTCATGATTCCCGCAGCGGTTTTGGGATTCTGAACGAAATATTAAAATGAAACTGAAACGGGTCATTGAGTTTCTGAATATAATCTAGTCTGTAATTTCTAATAATGTCCAGGGGATTCATTTTATTCTCGTTATGTGAAATATAGGAGTATGACCGTCATAAATATGTGACGCTGCGGCGAACATGTAAAATTGGATGATTTTGAGTCGCACACTTGGATTTCTTCAATTTGTTTATTTTCTAGTGTTAGTTTCGAGATCTGTGATCATTGGGGAGATGCAAAATTGGAAACTAAAAGGAAGTTGGGGTTTAAATTTTTCATAGGAAGTTGATATCGATTTACCGAGGAGGATTTATAGAGTGAAATTGAAAAGTTTTTTACTAGAAACGTTTAATATTCTCCGATGAAATGTGTAATTATCTTAGGTATCGTTGAATGTCAATCACTATGCTAATTACTCGAACTGCGAACATCGTATCATGGAGCCCGGGAATCGATGCACCGCAACATGTCCGAATGTGTGTACGGAGCTTAAAAGAGGAAGAGTAAAAGTAGTTCTCGATTTTTTGGATTCCCTGTCAATTCGGTGATCGTGGTATTCCGAAGATTACTAGACTCGCGAAACGCTGATTTTTCCAAAGATAGAGTATATTAGTTGGGAATAAGCCCAGCGCTGCGGTGCGTATCCGAACGAAATAAATATTATTATTTTAGAAGCTCATCGTTTCATTTCGACCTGCGAAACGAGTTTCGTGTGACGTGACCTGAAAGTATCGCGTTATCTTCTACTTATAGCAATATTCTGTTCCATTATCTTTCCATCATTCTCTGTCGTTCACGATTCTGCTCAAATCCTCCTCGCAGAGACTCCCCTTCGAAACCTCTGTGTCCCGAGGACACGTTCGAAGTCTTCCAAGAAGATATAATCCAGTTCTACAGATCGAAGTTCCAGTTTTTCTTTACTGAAAAAGTAGCGTCACACAAATCCAATTACCATCAACGCTCACACGTCAACTTGATCATTAAGAACCGGTCGCCACGTTCGGGGCGGCCGGTCACAAAGAAAGATAAACAATAGATATACAACAGAGGTCACACAAACCAGGGAAGAAGGAGCACCACCCCACAGCGACCCGACCATTCAACATCCGGACATGACTAAACATTATCACTGGGATGCGACAGTCTACTATCAGAATCGCGCAATAAAACGCTACAAGAAGCTAGATGCCCACAGCCCGAGTCCTTCGATAAAACGAAAATAAACAGAATCTTGATAAGGGCCGCCTGAAATAGAGCCGCTTGAGCATGCAATCGATTCGCGCGAGCTTTTATTAGTAGTTCTTGCTAAATCCCGCTCTAAGCATGCGCATGCTGCAACGGCGAGCATCTTGCATTTCTTTCCCCCGTTTCTTTTGTTACGCGCACCCGCGCCGCAATCCGCGAGCGCGCAGCCGAAAGTTTAACGCCGGACATCTGGATGGTCTCGATCGTTTTAGGCGCAGCATGATCACGCGTTTCGGCGAAACCGTTTGGAGGTCACGGGAATCCGTTCAGTCGGACGTCCGATCGATTCGTTGTCGAAAAGGAACAGTTTTCTTGAAGTAAACAATTAAAAATGATACACCTCGCCGAGCGAAGAGAAAATAGATTTAGTCGCTCGACGATCGGATGGAATTCTCGGGAGAAGCCGAACTGTTAGGCTCGATGTATTCTGCTCGCAATCTGCAGATTTGTATAAAAAAAATACGCGATCACTGAGAAATGTGGGGAATGATGAAGTTTAGGCATCACTGTTGTAGCATTTAGTAGGTAACGATGAATGAGTTTGGACATTTGTACCTTTAATTGTCGCCACGTTCTCTTTTAGTAAGTTTCACGATCACTAGGTAAAACGGCACATTTCACCGGGATATGATTCTTTAGTAAGTATTTAAATAAGATTATTAATGTCATAGGATCTTTTCCAAGTATTAATAGTTAGTATGTGTTGATATGTACTTGTGACCAGTAGGAACAGCATCGAATTCTTTTCTCACGAAAGACAAGAACACGTAGAGAGGAATTTCTCGTACTTCACTGAAAATCCTTACCTGAGATCTTTTACACGTGACACCGGACGATCCCTTGATTTTGCAACTGAAACTCACGTGTCTATGTTCTGCATATATAGCGAGGTGTAAATATCAAACGATCGAAGCAATTGATGTAAATATGTAAGTCTATGTACAGCATCTCTAGAGGACAAAGCTTTAAGAAGGATACTTAATATAAGCAAACGCAAGTTTAATGGCCAACTGAGTTAAATTTAATGGAAACAAATTATTTTATAACAACCCATATGAAATAAGACTCGACCGCTCACTGTCACCGAATTCTCGATCAAACTGTAACACAAGAATCTAAATAAACAATAATTTATTAATACCACATTCTCCATTTCGATAATGGCACCAACAGTTCCTAACCGTATAACTCGTTCCCTACGAGATCATGGGACACCTATGAAAATCTTCCGTTGAAACTGAAACCGAAGAGAATTCTCCGATCTCGAACAGGTGAGAAGGGAACAGGGGCAACTCCAGAACCAGCGGATTAGATTAAAAACCGATGTAAGTAATATATTTTCATATTTACAAGAATTCTTTAGTTATAAGTTCCAATAATCGGTTAGCTGAGTATATGGACGTATGTATACATAATATGTGTGTCGCGCTTGTAAAAATATAAAGTGCGTTTCTTCAAAACGTATTTATTCCATCGACGTTCATTAAAATAAGAAAACGGAGAAGAAGGGGACCTCCAGGGGGATGAAGTACGGTCGAACAAAGAGGTACACACAATTTCCTCCGCAAACGTTTGCGCGGTCTCGATCTCTCGAGAACGCCGGTTTGTACCGTCGAGCGTGCCAACGGGGGAGCAAAGGGTGGTGGAGAAAGAAAGGGGAAGCCGGAGGAACGAAAACGAGGAGCAACGTCGATCGACGCAACGAGTACATTTTGAAAGAACGCCACGGATAGGTATGCTTTCACTGAAAGCGATTAATTTCCCAAGAACTTCCTCACGTTCCTCGATTTAGCGAGCCGCCGCGGCGTCAATTGATTTACATTTCTAAAAAGGAAAAAGAGAATCACACTCACACGCACACGCATACAGAACACGATCCACGTGGTCGGTGAACTCGTGAAAATTCCCCGGGAACTTTACGCTCCCGCGCGAAAACTGATTTCGGTGATCACTCCAGAAGCTTTCTCTCTTTTCCCCGGGAAAAGAAAATTTTAATCAGACCCACGGAACCTTTTAGCCTCGGCGAAGAGGAAACCGCGCGCGCTGGATCGTAACGGATCACGGGGAAATCTTGCGCTCCCTTTGAAAATTCGGTTTTCGAGTAATTCTCGTGGAAAATTTAATGGGGAGACGTTTCGATCCATTTTTCGAACGGCGTGACACTGGATCGTGGTGAATCGCGCGAAAATCTCTCACTCCGTTGGAAAATTTGTTTTATTGAATTTCTTCGTGGAAAATTTCGTTGCTAGAATTCTCGATCCGTCTTAATAATATCGTAACAACACTGGATCGTGATGAATCGCGCAAAAATCTTTCACTCCATTCCAAAATTTGCTTTATCGAATATTTTCGTGGAAATTTTCATTGGTAGAATTCTCGATCAATTTTTCCTAATATCGTAACAACACTGGATCGTGATGAATCGCGCAAAAATCTTTCACTCCATTCCAAAATTTGCTTTATCGAATATTTTCGTGGAAATTTTCATTGGTAGAATTCTCGATCAATTTTTCCTAATATCGTAACAACACTGGATCATGATGAATCACCCAAAAATCTTTCACTCCATTCCAAAATTTGCTTTATCGAATATTTTCGTGGAAATTTTCTTTAGTAGAATTCTCAATTATTTTTCCTAATATCGTAACAACACTGGATCATGATGAATCACCCAAAAATCTTTCACTCCATTCCAAAATTTACTTTATCGAATATTTTCGTGGAAATTTTCATTAGTAGAATTCTCGATCAATTTTTCTAATATCATAACACTGGATCATGATGAATCACCCAAAAATCTTTCACTCCATTCCAAAATTTGCTTTATCAAAAATTTCGTGGAAAATTGAATTGTTAGAATTCACGATCCATCATAATAATATCGTAACAACACTGGATCGTGACGAATCGCGCAGAAACCATTCGCTCCATTCGGACATTAGCTTTTCGAATATTCTCGTGGAAAATTGAATGGACAAAGTTCTCGGTCGGTTTTGATAATATTGTAGTAACGCGTTCGTGATTGGTGAGATGATCGGCGGACTACTTTTCGAAATGTCTTCGCGGCTGCGGGTCGCCGGATCTGCGAGCGGGAAAAATACGATCCGTGCTCGCAGCGTTCCAGAAGGCACGTAGTGAAGAATCGTAGTCGAATGATATATAAAAATCGTTTTGCTTCCTCGAGGAGTCCAGGATTATGGGGGGCAATGGTTCCGATTATCGGCCTCGTTCCATTCCCCTTAACGCTTGACTCGGTACGCCGGGGGGCAGTGCCGTGGGTTCTCCAGCCCTGGCTTCCGGGTCGTTGCTGGCTGCTTCGGAAGCCTTGAACCGTTTGTATTTCCCTGGAACATCGAACAATGACGTTTTCTTTTCACATAAACAATAACAACGTAGAATGTCTTTACATAAACAGTAATAACGGTAGCATTTTTTGTGTATAAACAATAACATTAGAATTCTTTACTCGAACACTAGAACAATTGAAAGAAATGGTAAAATAATTCTGTGAAATAATTAATGGACGTTGGTATTTTGTAATTTCTATGACTTAGTTTGATATTTTGTTATGTCTATCCTGTATGTTCAGTTTATTATAGTATCCTATGTGATAGTAGTTATATAAATTTCTAAAAATATTCATGTAAACTCCCATTTGTGTATCTTTAACCCTTTGCGGACGAGTGTCGACGTTTCGAGATCAAATTTCCATATTTGGAAGAGTAACTCGCAGACAAACGATTCAATTACTCAAACAGCAAGAGATCAGCGTATAATTTCTTTTATTTTCATTATTTAAGCGATCGATATATAATTTAACTTCTGCTGAAGGTTTCGCATATTTCGAAGAATCTTCGTCCGCAAAGGGTTAACGCGAGCCAAGTCAAATATAATTATTAAAAGTTTCATTAAACTTATGCCTCTTGGAGATTTGTAAATGTATTCTGAAGCACTTCTTCGTGTAGTTTTAATCTGAATAGACTTTAATAGAGGAAGAACTCGAGAACCGAAGTTCTCAGTTGTTTCGTTTACTATGCGAACGGAATAAACGACGTTACTCACTAGCTAAGCGCACCAAAGTGACACCCCACCAGATACTCCAGCCCCATCCGACCAGGCAAAATAAAACGGTGAACAATTGACCCACCCCGACCACCAGGTTCACCACGAACGCTCCGAGTCTCGATTTCAGTCCAGCAACCGCCGAGAATCTCGGTTGGCCCGAGCACAGGTTGAAAATACCGCTCCAAACGGTACCTGAAACCAACGGCGGTGTTTCAATCGATTGAACAACTGCTATTCACTACGGCGATAATGAAATTCTTCATTACGATCGAATAAAATCTATTTTATTTCAACACTCGTGTCTGTAACATTCAGTTCAACCCTTTCGCTCGAGAATTATTTTTTCCCGAGTCCACTTGAATGTGCGTCAGATTTATTTTGTGATACAATTTGATAAAAGAGATCAACACCATTGTTAAATACAACGTTTACAAACAACAAAATTTAAGATTATAGAATTCAGATACGCCAAGCATTTATTTAGTATGCCCTTATAAGAGGACGCTATGATCGAAAGGGTTAAATCCTTTTTCATGCGACGTTACAAGGTAAGACGTTGAAAATAAAGAAGCATACCACACGTAGGTTGATATTTACTGTTCCATTTCACTGATTTAAGGGTTAATGCATAACAGATGAACTAGATTTACCAGAACCAGGCAGTAGAACGTTCCACACCAAGCAAAACCAGGCGAGAGGAACTGGTAGACAAGGGATAGCGCCACGCATCAGGGAATTGTGCTCCACCAGAACGTCCGGTATCTTGGCCTTTGGTTCCTGTTATCAAAGAAACATATTCCTATATTTCTTAACAATTAAAATTTCTCTATGATTAAATAAAATAATATTTCTACCATTAATAATCGTGAAATTAACCCATTTGCAAAAAAGTGAAACATTGGACCTCGCCACCATAAATGTTTCAATCGCATGAAAATAAAAATGGTTCAATTATTGCACTCATAAAATCTTTCCCTTTTTTGCACATAAAGTACACAATGGTGGCGCGCATATACGCGGTTATGACGCAAATGGGTTAACACGTGCCACAGAACAGGGAAATCTGTTCGAATATGTTTGTATCTTTATTCTGTGCATCGGTTTGCTCCATTTTATTTGACTTTCACGAGCAACTACCTCCGACAATGGGGGTGGTGCGACGCTGGTAAGACTGTGCTTGGCACGTATGCTTCTTGTGCGTTCCGCTTCGGCCTTTCGCTTGCAACACTTGCAGCTGTCGAACAAACGGCGACAAATCGCGCCGAATCTTCTCTCCGGAGGACAGCAGACTGCGGCCTCGGCGGGCGCGACCCTCGATCTTCTTGAGCAACATTTGATTTCCCTCAGTCTGTTGCATCTGCGACAAACAAACAGTTGCATCAATCCGAAATCTCGGCGAACAGCGAATAAAATTCAGTTCCCAGATGATCCGGCTGGAATTTCGTTTACGATGCTTCTATTAATTTGCATGAATGAAGTGAACATTATCTTGAAAATTAATTTCTCGCAGCAATAAACGTAGAAAGCGTGAAACCGTTAATGCTAATCCACCGGTAAAACGGCCGATCGAGACAATGACCATTCGAGAACCTGATCTGCATTCTGGGTGAAAGTCCACGCGCATCGACATGTAATTCTTTCGAGCTGGAACGCCCTATTACTCGATCTTAACGTTCGTACAACCAGTAACCGGTTTAATCACGGATTAAGATCGTTTCTAACATTGAGAATCAGACCGACGGAGATCTCATTAATCTTGCATTTTTAAATTTCGTTTCCTATGTCTTTCGCAGATTCAAGACGGTTCTTGCTCGCTACGGCTCAGTAGCATAATTATAGAAAGATAGTCATAGAAAGCTGTATTATCCGAAGCATTCTATACACAGATCTCACGAAAGTTACCTTAGATTCTTACGGATCTCGTATCTTTTTGATAAATAAATCACATCATCAATGAGAGTACAAGTTATAATATATCGTCTCCATTACGGTACCCTTTAAAAATTAGAAAAAACAGCGGAACATTAAACGTATCTGTTTTTGCTCAAACGTTCCCCAGGAACATATCAAAGCTTCCTTTCAACCCCTTGGTTACTATCGCCTAAAAACGTTTGAAAAATTTGGTTTCGATGTACGATGACGTCTGAATTCTAATTCAACGATCAGTGAACAATTTAGATCAGTTTAACCCATTCACTGCCAGTCACGAGTATACTCGTAGCAAGAGATTGCCAGTTTGGCACAATCTTGGTTGTACTTGAAATGTATCGTAATATAAAGCAAAATAAATTGTACAAATGAAGTCACACATTTTATGCTAGCAGTGAATGGGTTACAAGATTCGTCATTGTTATAAAAGAATAAGGAATATCGTATGGAATGTCTAAAATTCTCATGGCAGTGAACGTGTTAATTTATTTCGAACCGTTGTTCCACGGTTTCAACACGCTTTCTTAGAAATACGTTCGGACTCATTAGAATTCAGCTGAGAGGTTAATACGGAAACCTTCTATTAAATCAGGTTGTTCCAGATTGGGCGACCACTTCACCGTGAATACCTGCATCTGTTCTTGAACTTAGGCCAGCAGCCAACAGACCCGACGTCCCTCGCGGCAGCAGGTTGTTGTCCAACCTCGTTCCTGCCGGCCAGCGTGGTGGTCCTCGGATTGTTCCTGGACCAGGCCAACCCTTTGGGGTTGGTGCGACAGGCAAGACACCTCATGCTCGGGCAACACTCGCAGCACCGACTCAAGGATCTCTTCCAACGCGTGAAAAATCTTTCGGGCGGCTGTTCACCGACGCCGTTCGCCGCTGCCAGCACCCTGTAATGGAAGGGCGGCCGCGCCCCCGGCCGTGCTGTTAGTATTATTAAAAAACGCCTACCCGGCCCCCCTGATCGATCGTGTCCACGATAAAGGAGCCTTCGCTCGCGAAAGAATGAAACGACAGGCGTCGATGAAAGAAACGATTAATAGAGCACGGGATGCTTCAAGGATACTGGGGACTTCGCGTTTAGGGGATGGGGACTTATTATTGAAGTTCGAACGTAGATATTCTAAAGTTAACCTTCGGGCTCCTATATCGAATATGACTTAACAGTAGATTTATTCGAAAGTGATATTTTTAATTGTATTATGTTGTTATATTATTTTTAATAGTATTGTATAAAGAATTTTTATCGATCGTCTGTACGGTAAAGAAGTTTTTGGCTCGCGAAAAAATGAAACGACAGGCGTCAATGAAAGAAACGATTAACACATTGTTGACCGGTCACAAGTTAATTCGTGTTTGCACGTGCATTAGCTGTTTAAATTTTCGAAACACAGGGCAATATAGAATATTGTAAAAGCAAAATATTCAAAGTTACATAAAAGATATGTTCAAAGGTTTCAGTTCAATTTATTATGTATAAATAAAATATATCGAAGTTTATTTGGATTGTTTCACTTTCATATTTAATTACGGAATAATAACTGGTGATATAGGATAGCTACTGCGTAAAATCGCCGGTCAACGATGTGTTAATAGAGCACGGGATGCTTCAAAGATATTGAGAACTTCGCGTTTAGGGGATGGGGACTCGTTGTTATGGAAGTTCGAACGTAAATATTCCAAAGTTAACCCTTCGTGCTGCTATATCGAATATGACTTAACAGTAGATTGTAGATAGACAATTTTTTAATTGTATTATATTGTTATACTATTGTTAATAATACTGGTAAAAAGAACTGTTTACGTTGTTTGTTAGTAACTAATTGTCTTTCGAAATCCATTTCAAGTAAAGCGCTTAAAATAATATAGAATTATAGGAAGGTAAACGTGAAAGGAGCTCGGAGAGCTAAAGGTTAACAGACTGCGGATCTCTGTGCAAATTCGAATGTTTGATTATGTAATTAAGAAAATAGTGTTAGAGTAGATAATGGTATTTCTGTAAGAAATATCGTAGAAAGCACTGCATTGTGGATATTTTATGGATTCAATCGTATCGTGTGCTTTCAAAAATGCTTTCAATTTTATAATCGCGGTTTAGTTATTAATTTTCATATGAGATATTCGGAAGTATTGAAATAAATTCTTATGCACTAGAATTACAGCGTCAAAGAGATACAAGTTAATTAAAGCGAACGAATTATTCCTCGTCGGCGAAAGGCGAAGTTAATGTTAATCGTTGCCATAAAAGACCGTACGAAAACAGCCGTGACAGCAATTGTGTGATTCTGTGTACTTTCCACTGAGTCAGTAGTTAGGTATTCAAACATCGCAGTTTACCCGGTTCATTTCACTTTACCTGGAAAACTGCAGTTTTGTGCGGCGCGCCTGCAACCCGCGCGATAAAACACTTAATTTTCTTGTAGCCCATTTCACGATACTCCACAACGTTCGTGCGAGCTAGCTGGGAGTTTCGCGGCCGGTAGCATTCTCGCAACATTGCTGCCTTAATTCTATTCCCGATAGCAATTCAAACTCGTTTATCCAATTCCCGATTCATCAACGCGAATATACAATATCCCCGTATATTCCGACAAAATCCCAAACTTCTCCCGGCGAATCCCGAAGCGTTAGGAAGACATCCCCGATAGTCATCGTAGACGCACGAACCGAGCCGAAGCGACGTTCGCCGGAACCGGGCCGAAAGATCGCGAGCACTTTCAACAATATTAAAAGACAACTCAGCAATCTAGGAAATTGGGTGTCCGTCAAAGGCGCGGATCCCAAGGTCCGACACGCGGGTACCGATAATTAATCACCGAGGCCCGTCCGCGCAACCAATCACCGTTATCTAAATCGCGACCCGTCACGGTGATCGCGGTACCAATTGAATCGCATCGATTCCCTCGTCGCCGCCGCATAAATCCCGGACCCCCTCGCCTTCGACCCCTCCCGTGGCCGAACCCGAGCGCAAAATGTCGACGCCGCGAGAGAGAGAGAAATGTCGCGTAGAATCCGCGCTATCGATCCAGCTCGGAGGAGCAACGTGCACCAAATTCCCACGTGTGTCGGCCTGTTGCCCGTGTGGGTCACGAACCTAACCCTTCCTTCCTTCCGAGTGTCTTCGGATAATTGATAAAGCCGAACGATAAGCTCCGACCGTCAACCTCTTACCTCTTGGTCCCGCCGTTGGTCCCGCGGCCGATCGAGGCGAGAGGAAGACGCAGCGCGCAACGGAAACGCGATGATCGCCGAGGAACTGATCGATCCCAGGTGTACGTGGACGAGAAGAAATCGTACTGTTAGAAGGGCGGCCAGCGAGGATCGCGGCTCCGCTCGTGTCGCACGAAGATTGCAGGTGCCGCAGTCCACGGGGGTTGGCCGGACCTCGGGCTGGACGTAGGGCGGCGAAGCGAAGAGGGTGGTCGGCCGAGCGACCGGTCACGCAAAGATTTTCTCCTTCGGCCGGCCTGCATACACCTAAGAACGCTGGGCCGGCTTCCTTCGGTTGACCGCGAAATCGATACGGCCTGAAGTTCTTTACCTTAACACCGGCGCTTTTTCAAGGCGGCTCGTTGGACCTCACCTACCCCCTCCTTCCACGATGGAAATTCTCCTGTTTTCGCGTTCATTCGATTTACGCGAGGCAATTATGCGGGAAACGGTTGTACGCCTGTTGTGCGTATGGAGGATGAATGATTCTAGGCTAGAATGGTTTTCGATGGAGAATCGTTGCATCGAAGTATGGCGATTCAATTTGAATATTGGAAAATTAAGTATTTCATTTTCTTCCTTGAATCGTTGGGAAATGATGCTTGATAGATAGGGAAGTTAATAGTAGCTACGCGAAATGGCAGGTAGCAATTGTACGAGATTACGTTACTGTCGACTGCGTCGTAATATAAATCTTCGCCACCGTCTCCGTGTAATATTTCGTTTCCCTCAATTAAGGAGCGCCCGCCTCCCTTACGATTTACATGTTGCCCTTGGGCTTTTTTATTTCGGCGTCCATTAATGCCGTGAATATTTATCAAATCGATACGTCGTCGGAGCATTACGTATGCTGCGAGCTTTATGCGGCGCGCAATTTTCTCTCGTTAGAATTCCACTCGATCACTCGGGGTTTCCGAACGTCGACGGAAGCGTTCGAGTCTCGAGTCGAGCTGAAAAACTTGTTTCGCGCGAAAATTCGGGAATCGAATTACGCGACCGTTCCACCGTTCGGCACGAAACAATCGAACTTCCAGCTGGAAGTCGGCCGAGCGAGCGAGCCGTTGCTCAATCTTCGGATTCGATGAAACAATAAAGCCCGTTGATACCCGAACGACGGAGCCGAGGAACTTCGGCGGAGAATTCAGCGACTCGGATCCGTAACCGGCGTTCCATTGGCGGAAACTTTTAATTGCGTTCACTTCGCGCTAGCTCGCGGCCATTTCAGCCGGTTATCCTTCGCGGAACGCTCGTGCGATAAATAGGTGTCGGAGTTGTTCCTTCAACGCGCGTGTTTGAAATTATTATAAAATAACAAAGCCCCGGGATCTTCCGCCCTTTGCCACCGGCCGCCACGTACACGCACAGTCTGCCTGTAAACTTACTATCGTTCAAGGCTCCTCTGTTGCTTCGTGACTTTTAAATAGTTCCGAAACTGCTTGCAACCTTAAGCGAAATATAATTAATATAAACCCTGTTCGTTCGCACCTTCGCGAATACGATTTTCACGAAGTAACTCGCGCAGGTTGGAATAAAATATCGAAAATCGCGATGGAAGAAGTTCGTTGATTGCTTGTAATTTGCTAACTCGAAGGTAGAGTATTATCCGATTTTTATAAACTAATTGAAATGTAGCATGAAACTACAGTATTAACTCTGCACTCGATTTCTCATCGAGTTAGTTTCACAAAATATCGTTTCTACTTCGTCGGAAAATGTTAAAATATTTCTAGCGAGAAACTTCCGAGTGCTAAGGGTTAGAAATCCAAATGGGATATAAATTTTGATGAACCAATTTACGGAAACTAGAAATACCTAGGGTATCCGAGATCTCGACGGAAGAATTCTGACAATTATTCTTTGATGCTCGAATAACTCAAAGGTACAGTGGATTTCCCGAGAAACGTTAATCCTCACGCAGCTGTTAATTCCGAGACGTTAACTGTTCTCTACGAATAAGACGCATCCCGGGGATAGCATCTTCCCTTGGCCGTTGATTTTATAGTTTCACGGAAAGCGGCGGAAGTTAGGGTTGTCTTAAAGAACCATATTCCTTTACGATCAACGGCAACGACGTTTCGACAATGCTGCCCGTCGTCGTAAACGGCGGCCCGATGATAACAGCGGCCCGTAACTCCGTCGTAGGGCCAATGACGTCACCGCATATTATTATGCGGTGAGAGAATTATGCGAAATGTGGTGTAACGGTGTCCTGCGTGCGCTGATATATCGCGCTGAATCACGTGGTGCGATGGAAATTTTTCATTAAGTCAATTCGCGTCGCCGATTTTACTTGATACTCGAGAGCCGCCGAGAAACGCGTGGGGTTTAATAATCGTTCCGTTGAAAATTTAACGACCCGCGTTTAGTATTACCATCCATCTCCATCATAACACGCTGCATTTTCGAAGCAACAAAGAACTATGAAACATCTTAATTTAAATGAGGAACTCGCCGCGATAATGCAATAATGATACGCCTCTCGTTCGCCCTGTTCTTACGTTATATATTCCATAATAGGCACAATTACGATTATTACCGTCGGACGTGTCATTTATTCTTCGGCGAGAAGTTGAAAAGTTCTTCGAGTGTAATAGAACTTCGTCGGCACCGAAACACCGGTTGTTTAGATCGAAGCGACTCGCGAACGGCAGAAATAGAAACAGTCAGCGATAAAATTCGC